AAAAAAAAAAAAAAAAAAAAAGTACTTTGATGGAGATTCATGGTAATGTTTTTATTTTAGTAATTCTTTTTTGTTTGGGTTTTGGAGGCAAGGTCTCCCTTTGTAGCTCAGGCTGGCCCTGAACTCGATATGTAGCCCAGGCTGGCCTCAAACTCACAGCAATCCTCCTGCCTCAATCTCCCGAGTACTAGGATTACAGGTGTGTGCCACCACACCAGGCTCTTTAGTAATTTTTTTTTTAATTTAAACATTGACTATATTTTTGGACAGTGTGATGTGATGAAATATCTCTTGCTCTCCATCAGTTGGTTACAGAAAATATGTGTGTGAAACAAAATTTTCATGAAACAGTATCTAATTTTGCTGTGTGCATTGCACTTTGCTATTTTTTGCTGTCCTAGTCTACTTTTTTTTATACCGGCATGGAATTGATTTCATGCCTCACAAAAAGGTTATGCCCCATGTTTTGAAAAACAAAATTCTAAAGGATATTCTCTAAGGTTTTTGCACCCTTTTAAATCAATGATTCCATTCCTCTAAGATTTTTCTCATTTTTCAAGCTCCCTGAAACAAGTGACCATCTACTTAATCTCTGTTTAAAGTTGGGCTTTGTGTAATCACATGGAAAAACTGACCTTTCAGATCCAAAGAAGATTCACATACGGAATCATTTTAACCACAGTTCACAACATTACTAACACATCCTGTCTACTAACTTCCATTATTACTTTGATGTTGAACAGCTTTGAAATACCCTTACTTTCTTATTTCAAATGTTACGCTCTCTTTTTTATTGTTAGAGAAAATAATCTTTGTCTCAGTGCTTCTATTCCACAAAAGAAATCACTGCTCACTTTAGAAGGAACTCTCCAAAACAGGATACTGACATTTCTCCCATAGAACAACTTTCCTCCCTTGTCATTTCTCCCCAGGTAGAGCTTGGTTTCACGTTAGAACACAGAGCTTGTACCAAAAGCACTGTTCCTGCAAAATAAAGTTACCTTTGAAGTAGACCTATGCGCAGGAGTGAAAAATAATTGCATCTTCTCATAGCTACGTCGTGCTTTTCTGGTCTTATGAAGAGCAAATTGGGTCAAAAATGTTCCTTCATTTTCTGTGTTGGATTGGTTGCTTGTTAGGCTTCCTAGGAGAAGAGGAAAATTACTAAAGGATGGAGAAGAAAAGGAATTTTTCAAATGCTGTTATAAGAATGTGCTAACTCACATCCAAAAGGAGGTAGCTCTTTTCCTTCCTGTATTAGCGCGGTTGGTGGAAACACTGTCAAATCAAAGTCAGAAAATAGGAATTTGAGTCCAGCTTCTCTTATTTACAAGTTCATACAAAAGATAACCAAAGACCTGCACTTCTCACCAAGAATTTACAAAGCATGCAACATGAATTCATAAAGATAATAAATAAATAGTGCAAAAAAAGAATTTGGATTATTTTAAATCCAAAATTGATCATTATTACATTCTCTAACTATGCAGGATGGTTGTCAAACACCTACATTTTTATATGCAAATAAGTCACTAAATGAATATTATAAGGACAATTAGAGCAATAGCTTAATTTCCTGCAGAAAACTTCAAAAGAAATTTGTTTTATAGAAATTTGTTTGTTTTACAGTCACAAACATTTATGTATCACCAAATGAATTAAAATAACCTGGTGCCTAAAAATAAATAAATAAATAAACAGTGCAAAGGGTTTATATAACTAATATGAAAACCCTTAGACTTGGGAACTCAGCAAATGATTTCTTCACTTCTCTTCACACATGAAAAACAGCTGACTATGTGTAACAACAGGAAAACAGATCAGCAGAGGCTTAAGGAGAGCTAGAAGAAGCATCGTACTGAAGCTTTTGGTGATCCCAGGAGGGTGAGTAGGATTCTAGGGTACAGGAGGTGGAAAGTCTGGAAGCTACCTCACTATGTAAACAGTGAAAGAAAAATGCAGAGTAAGTTCAAAATAATGCTCTGAATCCCATAGCCTCTGCTTTCAATTTCTGCCCTTGGCCAAGTTCCATTCTGTGTGAGTCTCAATTCCGTCGGGTAATTTTGTTTCAAAAGGTTAATATTACCTACCCAAGAATTATGAAATTCTTGTTTTATCAAAAAGTATAATTCCAGTGAAACAATTTTATACAATTTAGAGTGCCTTAGAAATACAAATGAATAGTAGTCATTCTACAAGTACGTATTGAAAGCCTCAGCAAAGACCTAGAGATATAATTGTAAATTGCCTTGCTGCTTTCCCTCCCACACTTGCAATGAAGCTGTTAGGAAAAGAAAGCTAAGTAGCATTTCACAACAGAAGTGACATACACACATGTTCTTGCATTGTAGAAAAGAGCTCACCAGCCACAAAATGTAGCTTGCTTAGGGGGCAGACTTAAGATGAGGAAATCCAAAATATAAATAAAGAGCAAAACAAAAGACATATAATAGGTAGTAGAGAAATAGGTCTGTTTTTAAAGGAGAAAGGGAACAAGAGATGGAGGGAGAGCATAGAAAGGGATGAAAAAAGAATTGAGATATATTATGTACATGTACCAAACTCCCCATGAGAAATCTAATCATTTTATAATACAAACATGTATTAATAAAAAATAAAAACTGGAAAAAAATGAAGATTCCAGGGCTGGGGATACAACTTAGTGATAAACTATTTGCCTAGCATGGCTTAAATCCCCCAACATCATGAGATAGATAGATAGATGACAGATAGATGATAGATAGATAGATAGATAGATAGATAGATAGATATAGATAGATAGATAGATAGATAGATAAACTAAAAAGAATTCAAATGAAAAAAGAATATGAGCAGAGACCTATAGTCTGTTCGCTTCACTCAGATATACATTGTCAAAATTCAAGAGGCAAAATAAATACGATATAGCTCTGTTCCTCCAGATAGGCAAAGTCCAGTAAGGTGGTACAGCCCACATTATACTGAGAGAAGCAATCCAAGGTGCTGCTAATGCATCAGTCAGTGAGCAAAATGTTAGCTAAGTGACACTGGAGACATAGATCACACCTAAGACCAAAGCACCAGGATACAGGAAGGCACGAGGGCACAGAAAATCATAAGCTTGCAGGAAGGGAAAATGTGGCTAGACTAAGGAAAGTCAAAGAACTCAACCAATCTGTTTTATGTCAATGGTGGAAAATAGAGACGGCTTGTGTGTGGCTTTCAATAGAGAGTTAATGAGTTTATTCTTTATCCTGCAGGTGATGGGGCATAGAATAAAGTCTTACAAGCAGACAAATGATAGTGTTAGGAAGAATAATTCTGGCAGCCATGAGCTTGATATACAGAAGAAGAGAAGACTGGTTAGTTGGTTGCAGAAATAAATCAGGACTGGCTGAAATGGCGATGGCCCAGACTACAATACTGGCAGGAGAAATGGAAGAAACAGATATACATTTCTCATTGATCAGACGGAGGTAGAGTTCTTCTGTAGTATGTACGAATTGAAAGTATTAACTAAAGATAGGTTCATTTCATTTTAATACAGTGGACTCTCAAGTTATGACCAGCCTGATATATGAACAACCTGGGTTACAAACAGAATTTTAATCTTACCTTATGAACAAAATATTCAATTATGACCAGAATGCTGGCTGCTTGTGCTTGCAGATGGTCTCAGATACAGATTTAACCTTTAAAGTATTCTGGAAGGAACAATACAGCATCCTTCCCTGTATCAGGGTTGAGAAATCCTGGGCCAATGTCTCTCTAAGGACACTGAGATCTGCCTGTATACAGGAGACAGACTTCAAAGGCTGTGTAGAGGAGAATGAGCCTTCAATTGACCAATTTGAGTTACAACCAGCCCTCAGGAATGAATTAAGTTCATAAGTCAAGGGTCCACTGTACTCTGACAGCAAGCAATTGTTATGGTTTGAATGTATGCCCTCTGCAAAATTCATGTTGAATCTCAGTCCCCACTGTGATGATATCATGTGATGGGATGTTTTGGGAAGTGATTAAGTTGTTGAACAGAATATATATCAATGAATATTCATATAATGTTCATTGATATATATCATTTATGAAAGACATTCAATGAGTTAGTGCCAAAGTACAAACTCTTAGAAGGAAAGACTGGGCCCCCTACTGGACATGGAACCTCCAGAGACCTGGATCTGGGACTTTCGGGCCTCCAGGAGAGTGGAGGAATAAATTTCTATTCCTTATAAATTACTCATTCTCTGTTGTTCTGTTATAGCAACATGAATGGACTAAGACACCAATTTTCTTTTGTTAATGCTTTAGCATGCATTGAAATGATCATAATTTGTGCCCTTTAGCACTAGATGTCTGTCCATTAAGCATGGTTCTGAATTGGACCAACAAGATGACCAAAACCAAAGGAGAGAGAAGATTGTCCTAAAGCTCCCAATATTATTGCTAACTAAGGAGAACACCATTCTTGGGACACAACTACTCCTCTTGTCACACAAAAATCCTACCCAGAAAGCATCAATTGTCTTCTAAAAGACCAAGATCTACAGGGATATGTTCTTGGCAGAAATAACTGAAGATCCCAGTCCTTCTCATCTTAATACTGCCTGGCAAGTGATCAGTGCCACAATCTCACATTGCTTAGGAGACTTTTTTGTCTCAAGAAGTGACAAAAACAAGCATGAAGGACAGCATCATTTAAAACACCCAAAATGAAATGGGGCGCCTCATTACACCCTGGACACTGGAGAAAGTACCAGGAGTAAGAGAACACCAGGGGCAGGTACATATGAAGTGGTGAGCCTGTGAGACACACAGAGCCTAGATAAGTGCTCGTTGCACACTGCTTTATTTTACCTGCAGCTTATTTGATTTGGGTTCAGTTGTCTTAACTAAACCGTTTTGAGTTATTTATATGCAAGTGTGGCCCTATTGTGGGCATTCTTCACCTGCAACCACCAGGTTTATGTGTGTTTGAAACAAATACTACAATTCTCATAGCAAGATGAAAAGTAAAACAGAAATAAACCACCCAGAGCCATCAGGCAGAGCTCCTCCCTCCTCTAATGACCCACCAGCAGCTAAACAAATGATGCTTTCTGATAATGCACACATATCGCTGTTGTCATGGAAACACACTTAGCAACAAAGAAACCTTGACCTTTCCCCATCTGTTTAGAATCTTCACAATGACACATTAATTTCAACATATGAAAACAAAAAAAGGAGGGCATAGATGTTACACTATATCTAATTCCCTGGCAGAACCTAGCCCAGTGTGCATAAAATTCGTAGATGAGGAAGGAATGATGGAGTTTTAACTCAACACTCCCAGTAGGAACCTGGGTGACAATTCAGTGGCATTAAGGAAGAGAATCCAAACATGCTCTGATACTGAGACACTTGCGCAAAGGCTCCAAAGTGAGCCAGAGACAGCCACAACAAGCACACCCGCCAACACAGATGCTCCCAAGAACCAACAGCAGACATCTACAAGGAACACATATCCTGTGAGAGCAAACACTTTCTTTATGCAGCTATTGTTAGCAGCCTAAAGCCGAAGACAATGGAGACAGATTCAGACCAATCCTGTTCAACCCAATAAATGCCAGCTCTATGATGAAAATTGCATATAAAAAAGTATATAACATAGGTTCTGTCTCTAAAATAAGACACTCTTTGTAAATACAGAAATATTATCCCAATTAAATCAATTACAAAAACCCTGAAAGGTAAGATGAATATTGTAGGAGAGGCCTCTGAAAGGCTCTTCAGTTAAACTTGAAGGAATTCAAACATTCTACAAAGTGTTAACTCTCGTATGAGTAGAAATATGGGTTAAAGACACATTTAACTCTTTCAAGAAAGAAGTGTAGCATAGTAAAGCTGATTAGGAAAACAAGTTGAGAAATTAACCTGTCAAGGAAATAAAATAATAAATTGCAAACATGCTGAAAAGTGATTAATGTCTTATAGGATAATAAACTTCAGAGGTGTCTGTTTACCCAATAAAAATTATCTGCAACATATCAGTGGTGGAAAATTCAGCATCCAACTTTACAAAACCTGAACCCTAACCTACTAAATAATAAGCTAAACAAAGATAATCTTCTCCAGAATGTGTGTGAAGATGGCCTTTGGGTGGACTTGCTATAAAACACTCTAGTATGAAACTGAATGTATATACAGTGTCATTCTGCTTTATTTCTAAGTTTTCAATAATTTTCCTTAACAACAACAACAGGATAGAACTAGAGAGAAAGAGTAGAAACAAATCATGAAAACTGAAGGAAGAATTGGGA